CTCTATCTCCAACAGTTTAGCCTCCCCCCCCCACAAACTCTGGTGAATTGGAATGAAGAAACTCCTTGGTAAACTTGAGCCGATGCTGCAACGGCCGGTGTTACTGCAACTTCTTCGTCAGCAGCCGATGCTCCAACGGTAGGTGTTAAAGGAACTGTTGTGCCCCTACCGGCACTCTTACTACCCATCCATTCTCTATTCCCTCGTAGACATCTTATAAAACCACAAAACAAAACCAAACTTAGTGCACAACACAACAATCTTCCTCGAGGCACACACTCACCACCCTTAAGCTACATGACACACTTAGCCCCGAAACACGCATCTTTATTACATATAAACAACTAAACACCTAAACACATAATTGAATCAAGTCCACAAAGATGGTCACTCATCCTGAAACTCTCAAGGAATTTCTATCAGAAACCATGTTGATCAAGCATGTTTCTAATAAGACCTCAAAGCAAGTTCACCGGCTGCAAGTACTATCCAAGAAACTTAATCTCATGCTCACATAAATGCAACATATAAGTCTTAACACTTATGCTAACTATATGCAACGTCCTCACCACACGTAGCAAACCCATTGTGGTAAAATTCACTTCCCAGGAGCCCAAAGTATTCAAACCCAGCTCGCTCTGATACCAATTTGTCACACCCCGTTTTTTACTCGGATCCCATCACCAAACCATTATTATAGATTCAATTTCAAAGATAACATACAGAAACTCTTTACATTTACAAGAACACATGAATAAAGAATCTCTCATCCGAATACAATATGAATGCAACAAGAGTTATAATTAAATATATTGCACATAGACTTACATCTTTTAAATTAAGAGAAATGGTTTAACCCTTTTACATCAATGGCATTTCGTCCACAAATAAAAGGCCCCATGGCCAACAGATAAAAAAGATCCATGACCTTGAAATACTTCTCGATGTTCACCTGAAAAAGGATTAGCAACGTGGCATGAACATAAAGTCCAGTAGGGATCTCACCATGATCCTAAACAATAACAACATATAGATAGTTATGATCATAAATGCTTAGTCTCATGCTATATAAATAATGTGACGGTTTATAACCAAAGAATATTTACATAAGTAGTTTTTCCAAAATTATTCAATTCCTTCAATAGCACAGATAGTTCACATTTCCTTTTCATTTCCCATTTCAAATATATCTCATAACAACCATTTTGTTTTGGAGTTTGAAACATGTTCATAAATCTCTGATTTCCTTTACATTATTTACGAACTCAACACATGGTCTACATCATTTTCCAACACGTTCAAATATACAAATGTGCATCTAACATGAAAAACGAAAGCAATAAGCACCCAATAACCATCTACTCAACTTAATAAGACAACTTGGCCTTCTTGAACCATAACCATCATAACGCATGATATACACAGGTACACTGTGATAATAATAATAAAATAAGCTCTGCCCTACCTGCCTTAAACATGGAAAGCCAATGATACACCTTTCCATAATGAAATGCCAATTTACCAAACACTAGCTGGAAGGTAATGGTACCTCTGCCAAGTTCTCCAGGTGCTAGCTGGAAGGTACTAATGCCTCTTATTCTAAGCGTAGCCAATTTTCTAGGTGCTAGCTAGAAGATAATGGTACCTCTCATTCTCAACGCAATATACACTACCAATCATCACAACATAACAAAGTACAACTAACACAAGTGTAATGTATACACATAAACTATTAAACACAACAATGTCATCCTCCACCGATGACCAATGACAAAATCTCTAAATGTATGTACTCAACACACGTATTATAATAACCAAACTATCATGAGATTTTAAATCCAACAATAACAATAGTAAAATAAAATATTCATAATTCAACCTCAAGTTCATTTCTAAAAATCACATAGTGTTATGATTTCATTCTTTCTTTTCAAAAATCAATTCGCTTATTTTCCAAGTTAACATACTCCACTCTTTATCCCTAATCCATTCTTTTCATTTCGCAAAACTAAATCCATGGATATGAAAGCCACAACCTAACTCAACTTAACATGATTAATCCAAAATAATTCCAATGCCATAGTTAATTATCCCTTTTAGCTATTAACACATTTACACAAACCATAATAACAATTTACAAACATTATTCAACTTTACCCTTTCTTAATTCACCAAGTCAAAACATTAAATTAGGGTTTTTCACCCTTTTAACATAAACATGTTAGACTACTTTCCAATTAACCCAAACAACAATCAATTTAACAATCTCATTCACAAATAACAAACCCTAAATCCCCTTTCATGACTTTCAAAGAAATCCATAATGGATATGATTTCTATGCAATAAAATCTATCACATATCTATCTATAGATGAGGTATTGAAAAGAAGCAAAGAAATCCCTACCTCAAGATTCGAAGCTAAAGATGAAGACCTAACTTGAAACTCCAATGAAATAGCAAAACAATCGGTAGAAGTCTTGATTTCTACTTTCTCTTCAACCTTCTTGAAAGATTTGGCGTGAATCTTGGGTAAAAAGAAGAGAAATCAAGAGTTTGGAAGGTTAGGGTTTCGGGTTCAGAGGATAAGAGGAGACGAAAAGGAGAAAAATAAAATTTTTGGACCAAAAGTCACTTTATAATGTCTGTTAGCGACCTGGTCGCTCAAGCGAAGGAAGCTTGACTCAAGCATAGAAAAGAAGCTCCAAGAATCTCCGAAAATTGCACAGTTCGCTCGAGCGAAGAAAAGTTCGCTCAAGCAAGCATGCTTCTAGCATAGAAACTCAAAATTCAAATATGTATAACTCTCTCGTCCGAACTCTGTTTAGGGTTATTCTTGTGCCCAAATTGAAACCCCGAAAGTAAGCTTTCTAATGATTCTAGCCTCACATCAAGATTCAAAGTATTGAGAGAGAAAATGATGAAAAAGTGAAAACTATTTAATAACAATTATTCAAATTTGGAGTTTCTGATTTAATCTCACTCAACCACTATGGTAACACCTCAACCAAGGCTCAAATATTAACTAGAAGGTTCTCAATCAAGATAATCAAAGAGTCAAATATAATTTCACTATAACAGAAAGCATAGAATGCTACATATCTTAAAAAATAAACATTTAAAATATTGAAATAAACTCCAAAACAAACCCCATAAACAGCAGAACAACTCGTACAACTGCCACCCCAATTCCATTATTCAGTGGGCATGAGAACTTCGACCACTATTCCTCTCATAGCTGCTATTTCTTGGGCTAAATTGTAGAAATTATTCAAAAAATCCAGAGTTATTGGTGTGGGGTTGATTCTTTCATACTTTTCAAGCATGCTTAAGAAGCTCAAATAAGGCTACATTTACACCTATTCCACATTATCGTATTGAAAAAAAAAGGTAGCATATATAATTTCGAAGAGGCATCTTAAAAAATTGACATCTTTATTTGGGACAATTATAATATTTTTTAAAAAGGATAAATTACAAATACATTTCCTTAGATTTACTTAAAATACAAATTGTCCCTTACGATTTTAAAAATTACATTTCGTTTCCTGAAATATCTAATTTCATAACAAATGACCATTTTTATCAATAAATCATCAAGTCAATTAACAGTTTTTAATGATATCATAAATATATTTCAATTAATAATTCAGGTAATTTTATTATTATATAGGAGTGCAGTTAAGAATTTCATTTTTCTTGTTAATTATGTTAAATAAAAAATATTTGCAAAGGGTATTTGTATTTTTCTAAATTACATGAGGCAATCCATATTTTAAATATATCTCAGGGAATGTATTTGTAATTTAAAAAAATGTTCATGAATTTTCATGCACCATAATCTTTAGTTCATTAAAATTTTAGGGCAATTTTAAGAATGTATTTACAAATAAATATTTATATTTTGGGTAAATTACACTATGTCCCTTTTATGTTTGACCACTTTTCTACTTTGGGCCTTAAATTCTATTTTTTCTCTCTTTGACCCTTTATATTTCAAGTTTATTTCAGTTTACTCTTAAAACTAATTTCTATTCAAAATTAGACAAAAAAGCCCACAATAACTGTCACATAACATAAAAAATATATATTATTATATTAGAGTTTAAGTTTATGTTAGAGATGTGAGTTGTATATAACAAAATATTTTTATGTCATGTGATTGTTAATATGTCATTTTTTGTTTAATTTTTAACGGAAATTCACTTTAAGATTAAACTGAGAAAAAATTGAAACATGAAGAGCTAAAGTGAGAAAAAAACAAACTTTAAGGGCCAAAATGGAAAAGTGACCAAACATAAAGGGGGCAAAGTGTAACTTGCTTTATATTTTTGAAAAAACATAATTCTAGACACCAAATTTAAAATTTTATTCATTTTTCATTTTAACTATTCTAGAGGGCTACAATTATTAATAATAATAATATATAAAGAAAGATTTAATAATAACAAAATAATTTTAAATTTCCAAATTTAAGATTTTGACTTAATTTCCAAACATATATTTTTGGGAAGTTAATTATTGAAAATGAAGGAAAACTAATACCTATTAAATTTTTTTTTTAAAAAAAAATAGTATTGCGACATGTGTATTTTTTATTTGTTTATATTTAAATTTGAAATGAAAAAATTGGATCTAGAGTTTGTAACTCAAAGGCAACAACACAATGTTTTGCAATTATAGATGGTACAGATATAGATAGATACTCTAAGGTTGTATTTAGTTTATGAATTTGGAGACGCATTTGGAAAGGAAAAGGGACGGGGAAAGGAAAATATGTGTGAAATATAGTTATATTCAATTCACATTTCACCTTACTTTTCTTTTTGTCACTATTGTTTTCTTAAACTATCCAACTGACCAAGAAGTTTTTCTGATAGTATACGTCTTGGATACTTTCAATGCTTAACTGACTAATATTTACGTTTTTCATTAACTACTTAAACTTATCAATGTTGTGTCTATGAGTTTTATTTTGGAGAATAAATTGCAGAGAGTTTTATTCTAGCAAAATTGACCACTATCATTTATTCAAAATGAAATATTGAATTACACTGTTGGAAATTTGAATGACAAGAAGAAATAAGTACCCAGTAGCAACAACACAAGAAAAAGTAAGTGCAGAACTTCTAAGGCTTGCAATCTGTGAGATATCCCTATCCAACAGCACAAGTCAGTCCAAACAGAAAAGCCAAATTCAGGAGCCACAACGCAGAAACTTTAAGCTATTTTTAATGTATTCCCTATATCAATCACAAATCGATATCTAACATCAGCTTTCACGAGGCGCTCCAGTGCAGTATTCACGTAGTCCATCGGTATCACCTCAATGTCTGCCGTTATGTTGTGTTTTGCTGCAAAATCTATCATCTCTTGTGTCTCTTTTATGCCTCCAATGCAACTCCCAGCCACAATTTTCCTCCCTGCCATTCAAACATTGTGTATTAAGCGTTTGGAGCCTTTCGTACATATAATTTCTAATTCACAAAGCCAAGGAGCCTTTCATTATATTTTTGCTCAAGAACAGTTAGGTAGGCACACTACAAGAAAATGCAGAATTGGCGACTAAAATAAGTATTTTCGTCGCTGAAAGTAGTACAAATGGCGACTAAAATCAGTTTAGTCTCCAAACTTGAGCACTTTTGCCGACTAAAGCACTTTAGTCGCCGAATATAGGGCTTTTAGCGACTAAAAGTCAGTTTAGTCGTCGAATATAGGAGTTTTAGCGACTGAAAAAATTTTAGTAGCTAAAAGGCACGGTTTTTGGCGACTAAAAGCATTTAGTAGCCAAAACTATAGGTTTTGGCGACTAAAAAATACTTTAGTCGCCGAATATAGGTGTTTTACCGACAAACAAATTTTTTGTAGCCAAAAGTAAAGGTTTTTGGCTACTAAAAAAAATTTAGTAGCTAAAAGTGGACAAATGGCGACTAAAACTGAGTTTAGTCGGCAAAAGTGGAGCTTTTGGCGACTAAAAATCAGTTTAGTCGCCGAAAGTTGTTTTTTTGGGCGGAAATTAATGTATTTAGCGACAAAACAGCATTTAGTAGCCAAAAAACATAGAATTGGCGACTAAAATTCATATTTAGTCGCCAAAAGTGCTCCCCTATTTTTTTTTAGTAAATACTTTATTTTTTTAGTAAAATATATTAAATAAAAATAATTATTTATATATATATTGTTTTCTATTAATATCGGTCAATATATTATATAAATAATATATGTTGCATTTATATTCATGTGATGTTCTTGTGGCGTAGTGGGGAGAGTGTTGGTAAAGGTTTACAGAGGCTGGGACGTTAGTGGTTCGAAACCTGGGAATAGCAAAGGCTGAATTTTTTTTTTTCGGAAAAATGCTTTCAGCGACTAAACTGTTTCGTCGCCAAATGTGTTGTTTTGGGCGACTAAAAGGGTATTTTTATTCAGCTACAGAGATGGTGCATAATTTGTAGTAGGTAAGGAGGAGCATTGGATCTTCAATCAGGCTGTAGAAGTTTTCTCAGATGGAATGAGCTAGCTAGAGTATGATATGGTTTTGTGGTATGCTCTTTCTATGTGTTGCTATGCTTTACTTAGTGCTTTGGCTGAGTGCAGTGTAGTTTGCTTAGTTTTTGCTTCACTTTATTGGGCTGCTGTTTTCATTGGTGTTGGCTATCTGATGTACTCATGTGTTTGGGCCACCCTTTGGTCTTGTTGTTTAGGTTTTTTTCCTTGCTGCATTGGTTCCTCACCAACTCTTGATGGTGTGCTAGTGTGCTTATCGATGCCAACCTAGTTGGGATGTTTGTTTAGGCCAATTCTCTCTGGGCACAAACAAGTCCAATTCTATAATTTCATTTAATGATATTAGGATCACAGTTCACACAAACAGCATCTTCAATCTTAGCTTGTATTTGGTTTATAAATTTAGTGAACAAAAAAAAATATGATAATTATTTTATTTATTTATTTTATGGAGAATCATTTTCTTCAATTTGGTGACCTTAAGGTATATGAGATTAAAGAGAACATGGGAAGGACTGATCGAAAGATAATTAAGACATTTTACCATTGTATGTGTGAGGCACAATAATGACTACTTTATTTTTTGTCACAGCCTCATGTTTGTATAATATTTGTATGTAAATGAAACCTATAGTTATAACATAAATGTTTTGAAGAACGGTTAAAAAGGTGTGGATGGTGGCTTTTTTGTGCCTCTAGAGAGGGAAATCAGAGCACTTTTGAGGATGTTGAGTTGGTCATTCTTTATATGGACAAAAAAGCTACAGAGCCATAATAAGTAGTCCGAAAAATGGCTAGTGTGTGGATCAGCTTCACTTTAGATGTGACTCACATCACGTTAAATTTGAATCTTCAATACTCACTTCTATTTTTGTGAATTCTGTATGGCATCGCATTGCATTGCATATTGGAACTTAGTGAAAGATGCTAATATCCTCTTTATTACTGGTTGCAGGCATGGGGTTTGGACTGAGATTTGGAACATAAAGATGAGTATTATCTACTGTTTTACTGTACAATAAACGTTGTGTATTGTTATTATTATTATTATTATTTTTGGGGTTGACGTCGCGCTAGTCGGAGAATTTGTTGATGCAGAGGAAGATGACAGTGAGTGATACCTCAGGGTTACTAATCTCTTTACTGTCATTGGGAATTTAATTGTCTGCAACTTCTGCTGAAAGCAGAGGCTGTGGATATTTCTTCAATAATTAGAGAGAAGTCGCAAGAAAATAAACTGGTTTGATATGGATTTCGCCAAATGTGATTTTTGTTGTAGTGGCAATTCAACCACAAAAAATACAAGCACTCACATGGGTATGTGTAAGCGTTCGGAGTATTTTTCTATGGTTGGACTGCATGAACGTTTGGTTTATTTTTTCTATGTTTAGATTTTGTGTACATAGAAGTGTTGTGTTTCTTTTACATACATTCCTCAAAACAAATTAGTTATGTTAAATGCTTACCCATAAGCAGAGGAAAGACTGGAAGCTCAAGCGGCTTCTCTGGTGCACCAACCAAGATGAGCTTTCCATGAGATTTCAACAAACCAATCAATGGTAGAAGAGGGTGAGGTGCAGAAACCGTATCAATGATACCATCCATTGTGCCCATAACAACCTATTACATTCGACACATCAAAACAAGAAGAAAAAAAGTTATCAATCAAGAATGCCCATTAACTATTGATCATAACAAGACTCAAAGCTATTAAGGAAAAAAAATGGTTACCTGCATTTGAGTTGGGTCACGGCTATCCAAAAAAGAATCAGCACCAAGCCGTTCAATAGCTTCTTTCTTCTTGTCGGGAGAGGTACTAATCACAGTCACTTTAACACCAAAAGCTTTGGCAAATTTTACAGCTGCATGACCAAGCCCACCAAGACCAACCGCACCCACATGCATACCAGGCTGGTCAAGCCCAAAGTGTTTTAGAGGACTATAAGTAGTGATCCCAGCACAAAGAAGAGGTGCACAACCATCAAGAGGAAGACTGTCAGGGATGCGAATCACGAAGTGCTCATCAGCCACCATAATATTAGAGTAACCTCCATAGTTTGGGGTTCCATCATAGTAGATGGAATTGTAGGTGAATAACATTTTAGGACAATAGTTTTCTAGATCATTAGCACAATTGTCACAAGAGTGACAAGACCCAACCAAACATCCCACCCCAACTTTGTCTCCAACTTTGAATTTCTGCACCTTGCTACCTACCTCTGTTACCACACCCACTATCTCGTGCCTGCATTTGTCAATTCAAATGAAACATGTCATATCGTACTAACTAAGGAATTGGCAATTTTATATCCATTCATATGTTAGATTTTATTAATTAAGTGGTTAGAATTTCATCATCTAACTACCAATTTCTATTAATGAGATGTAAGAACAATTTAGTACTGATATACCAATAGAAATTATTTATTTAAATGACATAATTTCATTTGGAATTGTTATTTTAAAAGAGAATACCCACTAAAATGACATTTAATTATAAAAATGTCACTGTCACATAATCAAAAGAAATACATAAATAAATAAATAAGTGCAATAAACAATCCTAATCATAAAAAAACACAAAGAACAAGGGAAAAAAAAAAGACTATCACTACAAGAAAACACACCTTTGGCGACTAAAATTTAGTCGCCAAAAGTCATTTTTTAGTCGCCAAATGTCGAATTTTCACTTTTCCCGACTAAATATTTTAGTCGCGGGTTTTGTCGCGAATACATGGTCATGAATACCTTTGGCGACTAAAAAACTGTTAGTCGGCAATGTACAGGTCTTCAACGACTAAAGAATTTGTCGCCAATAGTCAATTCAATTTTTGGAAATTATACATTTAGCGACTAAACTTTTAGTCGCCAATAGTGAATTTTTTTATTTATTTATACATTTCCCGACTAAACTTTTCGTCGCCAATAGCCAATCTTTCGGCGACCACAGACTTTAGTCGCCAAAAGCCATTTTCAGAAAAAAAAAAAAAAAAATTTTGCCTCTGTTGTTCCCAAGTTTCGAACCACCAACCTCCCAACATTCTCAACCTTTACCATCACTCTCACCCCACTACGCCACTACAACATCACATGAATATTAATGCAACATATATTATTTATATACTATATTGACCGGTATTAATACAAAATTATATATATATATATAAATAATTATTTTTATTTAATATATTTTATGTAAAAAATAAATTATTTACTAAAAAAAATAGGATAGCACTTTTGGCGACTAAATCTGAATTTTAGTCGCGAATTCTATATTTTTTGGCTACTAATTTTTGTTTTGTCACTAAAAGAATTGAATCCGGCCTAAGGATAGCACTTTTGGTGACTAAACTGAATTTTAGTCGCCAAAACCTGTACTTTGGGCGACTAAACTGCATTTTAGTTGAATTTTAGTCGCCAAAACCTGTACTTTGGGCGACTAAACTGCATTTTAGTTGGCAATTCTTGACTTTTAGCTACTAAATTTTTTTTAGTAGCCAAAAAGGTTCACTTTTGACTACGAAATTGATTTTTGTCGGTAAAACACGTATAATCGGCGACCAAACTATTTTTTAGTCGCCAAAACGTATACTTTTGGCTACTAAATGTTTTTAGTCGGCAAAAACCTTCACTTTTGGCTACTAAAATTTTTTTAGTCACTAAAACCCCTACATTTGGCGACTAAACTGACTTTTAGTCGCTAAAACCCCTACATTCGGCTACTAAATTGTTTGTCGCCAAAAGTGACTTTTGGCGACTAATTGAATTTTAGTCGCCAATTTTGCTACTTTCAGCGACGAAAAATCTATTTTTAGTCGCGAAATCTGCTTTTTCTTGTAGTGTATAGTGTGTTGGGTTTGAAAATTGAATTTTTTATTTTTTGTGTTTTTTCGTTTTTAGTGAATATTTTTTAAGTTTTAAGAATTTTTTTTTACTTTTTTAGACATGTATCTAAATAGCAAAATATTTGTGAAAAAATATTTTAAAATTTTAATAAATACACAAAAATACGAAAAATGAACTGAATTTTCATTTTTTTGTGTATTTTTTGGTATTTAGTGTATTTTTTAAAGATTTTTTTCCACAAATATTATACTTTTTAAGTGTTTTTATGTTAGGTGTAATTAAAAATTAAAAAAAAAATTGTTTTGATCAATGTCACATCTATGTCTTTAATTTCAACATTTTAACTTCACGTGCTCCCCACATCATTGAAAAATTATCTAGAGTTCAATGCTTCACTCTGCTAAGTTAATATTTTTTACATTATCATTTAAATCAATAATATATTTTAATTTCACCTTTTCCCCATCATGGACAAGTTATTCAGAGTTCGATGCCCTACTCTGATAAGTTAACATTTTTTAAATTATCACTTAAATCAATGAATACGTTCCAACTTTACCTTCTCCCCATCATGAAAAAATAATCCAGAGTTCAATGCTCCACTCTACTAAGTTTACATTTTTTACATTATCTTTTAAATCAGTAATTTAAGATGACTTCTTCCCTGCACCCCTGAGAAAGAATATATTATAAGCAAGTTAAATTGTTTTTTTGAACCGACTAGTTCAGGAGATCTGACTAGTTCAGGAGATCAATTCTACTGTTCAGGAGATCTGACTAGTTCAGGAGATCAATTCTACTGTTCACTTGAAAGAGTCTCAATTAAAACCAAGGCTTTTGTCCTATATAAACATGGCCACAAGAAATTATTTACACTTAAGAAGTTTCAAATTTGAGACATTAGAAGAAGCACATCCCCCAAACCTCAAATCTTAACCACTAGGCCAACTCTTTGAGGTTAAGTTTTTTTTTTTATCAGCAAAAAAACACTTTATTGATGAGAAAACATATATTACATACGAAAAAACATCAATAAAGAAAGAGGTGCAAAAAGCATCAAAGTACGCCCCCCAATCCCAACTAGGTTGGCACCAAGGAGGATACCCAATCATTTGCTAGCACCATCGAAAGTTGGTGAGAAACCAACAAGAAAAAGAGGGAAAGAACAACAGAAGCCCGAAGGCCATCAAGTGATACACCTTACAGCAAATTCTTTGAGGTTAAGTTATAACTAATCTCACAATGAATTATGAACAAGGTTATAACTAAATATCACTTGAGATATAATCAAAGACCTCATCGGTCATTATTCAAATAACAATCATAATTAACTAAATATCACTTGGGTTTTTTATTTTTTTTTAATATTTTTTTTATACTACAATTCACAAAAATATAAAATAAGTTAAAATAGTTAATAGGGCAAAATATTATATCAAACTCATATTTTATTTTTTTTCTCTCACAAATATCATATTAAATTATAAAAAATTTAATCATATTCTCAAATCCAAAAATTTTAACTTATTAAAATAATTTATTAAAATAACTAACTTTTTAAATGAGGCGATTGTCACAATTTGGACAGTAAGAGCTGTTTAATTGGGTGGATAAGATTATTAATCATGTGACTCATATTTGAATGTATGGGATTTTGATGGATATTCGATTTTAATAAAATGAATGAATTTTTTAATTTGTACAACTAATAATGTAGCATTAACATATAATTATGATTATATATTTCTATATCCATTGCAAAATGAACGTGAACAGAATTGAATTATTTATCCAACTAATTCAACTAGATAATTAATCCTATACTAATTTTATAAATTATTAGTTGCTTCACTATTAATCTTGCTAATCAAACAATACCTGAAAATTCAATTCATATATAAAATTTATACAAAATATATTATAAAATGGATGTTGCAATAATATTATAAATATAAATTATCTTTATAAATATTTTATTTTAAAATGAAAAGTCACTATTAAATGACATTATTATGCCTTCGTTTTGGAATATGGGTTGATTTTTTGACTATTTTAGTCTGAGACTAAAAAACCTTATTTTGGATAAGTTTTTGACTTTTTTAACTATTGTGATGTTTTCGATGTAATGTTTTGTCTCATTGAATTTTTAGCAAATTATATCTTTTTGTGACTATTTTAACCCAAACCCTATATAGCAAACAAAGCCATAAAATTTTTGTATTAATTTTTTTATTTGTATATAAAAATTTTGTATTACTTTTTTTATTTGTATATAATTATGTTTTGTATGTGTTCGTGAAAAAGATTAGTCATCATAAACAATTAAATAATAGGGGTGGTCCGCAAGGGCTCAGATTTTATGGACCGGATCGTTTGATGGCTTTGTGGCCAGTGGCTCATGGCAAGACCCTTTCTTCATTTATCTTTTGAATGTTAGTTTTGGAAAGTATTAGAGTAATTTGATTAGTTATAATTATAATTTTATGTGCTTTATTATCCACAGTTATCTTTTGAATGTTAGTTTTGTAAAGTACTAAAGTAATTTGATTAGTTATCTATTTATATATTATATAAGGAAAATGAGATTTCTAATTCACAAGTTCTAATATCTCAATGTTAATTTTTTAATTTGTCGATTAAAAAAAAATCTCAACATTTATTGACTTTTTCCAACTAACAAGTCTTTTTAACTTCTCTCATACTTACTACTGCACTATTTTCAACTTCTCACACTATGGTTAGTGATAGGATTGTAAAAAATCTAAAAAAAAATAATTTGTATATTAAAAAAAAACCTAAACACAATAATAAATTCTTATTAAAAATAACAAATTGCAATTGCGAAAAAAAAAGAGAAAAAAATATACTGTATAAAAATAATTTGTATATTAAAAAATATTTTTAAAAAATATAAATTCTTATTAAAAAATAATGCAAAAAAAAAAGAAAAAAAATTACACTCTACATTTCATTAAAATCTAAAAAAAAATAATTTGACTCTGATGTATGAGAATGTATTATTTCTTTATGTTCATGAGACTTGTGAATGTATGATGTATGTCTTAAATTGAGGGCATTAGAAGTCATGAGATTGTTAAATTCATTTTATAAAAAATCTAAAAAAAATAATTCGTATATTAAAAAAATATCTAAAACAAATTTAAATTCTTATAAAAAAATAACAGGTTGTAATTGTGAAAAAAAATAAGAGAAAAAAATTACACTGTAAAAAATAATTTATATATTAAAAATATATCTAAAATAAATATAAATTCTTATTAAAAAAAATAACAAGTTGCAATTTGCAAAAAAAAAAATTATACTGTGCATTTCATTAATAACGCTCAAAAATTGTGCCAAGTATTTGTGTGTTGCTTGACGGATGTTTACTCTTAAATTATCAACTGAATATAGATGAAACTGAATAA